AAAGTGGTGCAGGCCAGTGCTAAAATCACCTTTTCTCCTCGACGTCACACTCAGAGGCTGGCATTTTTAAAATTTGATTTGGCTTCAAAATTCCTCATCTCTGTTTCATCGCCCAGCCCTTGGTATTTTCAGGCGTCTCCACAGTTTGGGTGGGCCGGTAGAATTTACCCTGCCCAGGCAATGCAGGGTAGATGCCGGACGTACCGAGGCCGGAGGCGGTGTCTGTGTGACCGGGCAGGTGCCACGCGTGCCCACCCCGGCGGCGCTCCCCTCAGGCGACCGAGGCCGCGGCCCCCGCCCCTGCGTAGAAGGCGGTGCCTCCTCCCTGCCAGCGGGGCTGGGCCGGGCCTGGCTGGGCTGGGCCGGGCTGGACTGGGCCGGGCCGGGCCGGGCCGGGTCGGGACTGGCTGGACTGGGCCGGGCCTGTCCGGGCCGGGGCGGGCAGCCGCCATCGCCAGGGAGCCGGCATGGGCCCCGGGGGCTGGTGGCGGGCGGCGCGGGCCCTGCGGGCGGTGGGCGGCGGCTGGAGCCGGGCGGCAGCGCCCGGTGAGCGGGGGCGGGCGGGGATGGGTCCGGCCGAGGCTGGGCCGGCGCCCGGGGACGGCCCCGTGCGGCTCCGTTCGGCCGGGCTGACCGGCCGTGCCTCCCGCCAGGCCCCGCCTGCCGCCGCCTCTGCGCCGCCGCGGCGCCGGACGTCTCCTACCAGCAGCTCAAAGACCTGAAGAAGGCCAACGTGCTTCACATTGACGTGCGGGAGAGGTGGGAGATCGACAGGTTTGGAAAAATCCCGCAGTCCATCAACATACCGCGTAAGTTGTGAGCGCCGCTGTGTGCAGGCGCCGGGTGTTCCGTGTTCCTCCTGGCTGGAATGCTCAGGTGGGGGTGACTGAGCAAAGAGGAACGCTGCTAAAAAGTTGCTGGCATGTAATGAGGCTGAACTTTTCCTCCAGAGGAGTTAGAAGTCTTGCAAACTTGTAAACCATGTAAACCTGTATTTTTGGATGGAGAATAAACAATTGCTTGTTTTCTGTATTTCCCAGTGGGTGAATTAATGGAAGCTCTACAAATGGACCCAACGGATTTCAAGGAGCAGTATAATCAAAAAATGCCATCCAAGTCAGACCCTGTGGTTTTCTCCTGTTTGGCAGGAACAAGAAGTAAACAAGCGCTTGGTTTTGCCATGTCCTTGGGTTTCAGCAGGTATGACTTTGTGTGTAAGTATGGGATTAATGCTGCTTCCCCCGTGAAGCAGAACACGTACTCACCTCGTGTGCAAGGGTAAAAATTTACAAATGGAATATGAACAAAACAATTGGTATTTGAGTTAGACACCTCCTTTTGTCTCCACTGAACCTGGAGATGCCATTGGGTGTTGCAGCAAAGTGAGGTGTACCACCCTCGGAAACAACCCTTCAGTGGCTCTGCACATGTGCCACTGGTGACGCAAACTGCTGCAAGACCACGCTGCCACTGAAGGGTCCTTCTGCCTCTCAGGGCTCCCTTGCTGAGATGTTTCTTCCTTAAAGAGTTCTGTAAGCACTAGTCCTGAGATGCAGGGAGGTTGTAAAGGCGGAGAACTGCTTGCTTTGGTAGTAGTACAGTCTTAAATAATAGTTTGAGAAACCACACCCTTTGTTGAATTCCACCTTTACAGGTCACTGTTGACAAAGGATGCCTTCACTTCCTGTAAAGCTTTGGATTATTTGCCAGGAGTAAAGCAATGAAGGCAATAGCTGACAAAACAATGAGATGATGATAAAGTGAAATGCAGCATTTGGTTTGCAGAATTGTTAAACCTATCTTTGGAAGGTGCCTCGTTGTCTTGAAGACTGCAGATAAAATTTAAGACATTGGTTATTTGGTCATGTTCTCGCTGAACTGCAATTCAGGAATTGGAACATTCACATTAATTGTAGTCAAAAGTATGGAAGCATGTTCTTGTTTCAGAGTGAAAAATATCCTCCATTACCTGTTTTTCATGATGCCCAATTCAAAGAGTCAAAATTGTTTTGCATAGTGGATTTTTGTTTCATAGAGTTTAGTTTTGCACAGGTGTCAGATGTCAGACCTATAGAGCATGTAGGTTTTCAAGGAAGTAAAGATCAGTGTGCAGGGTTTATTTGGTGACAAGTGAAGTATTATACATAATAAATAGGTGTGTATATCTCCCACTGCTGTGAGTCTCTTCTCACTCTTTCAAAAAAGAACTGGCAACTATTTCATTTACCCAGCTACTATTTCTTACTTGATGTTTGAACTCTAACATTGTAATTTGGAAGAAAAGAGTTACAGAACTCACTGGATGGAAGCAGGCAGTCTTAGAGTAAAAGAAATGTCATTCTGCCTCATTGAAGCTAGGTACAAATGTATATGGTTACAGAGAATTTCTGTGTTTTCTCTTTATTTTAATCTGGTTTTTGTCAGGGTTTGTTTGTGGCATTTTGAGTGTTTAGTTTTTACTTTTGGGTTTGTTTTTGTTTTTTTTTTTTTTTTGCTATGTTCCTCTTTAAGAGACAATATTAAGGACTCTCCTTGAGAAAGGTATCTTCTGCATGTTTTCAGAGTTCAGCATTATGGTGGTGGCTTTGATGACTGGGTAAAACATGAACCTCCAGAAAAGAAATGAAGATGACGGCCCCACCCCTTACCCAATCAAGGCTTCGGGATGGTTTGGAGGTTTTAGCAAACCACATGCATTCTGCTTCCATAATAAAGCTCACTACTGGCTCCTTGTGTAAATGGACATTCACCTTCAAACAGCCATGCATAGCAACTGCTTGGTTTGAATTATACCCAAAGACTATGACACAAACAGAGGACATTAAATTGCTCAACCTTTCAGCCTTTACTTCAGGTTATGGTTTTGGTGAATGCATGTGAAGAGAACCTAAGTGCAAATTGTGTTTACTTTTTTGTATAATGTAGATTATGACTGTTTAAACTAAAGATGATAAGGCAAATAAAATTATTATTTCGCAAATACCTGTGTTGGGTAGTTGGTTTAGAATAGTCAAACTGCAGATATTCTGGAGTCAAGGGGTTGGGGACAACAGAAACCTGCTGCTGGCTCTGTTGTGCCAGGCCTCACCAGGACTAACAATGCCTTTTGAAGATCATTAGGGTCAGAGTGTATAGAGGATTTCCTGATTTAGTTAAATGTACAATTCATCATGTTTAGCTGTATTGATAAGCCACCAGACTTCAGCACACAAATGAATAAAGCCAGGCACTCCAATCAACTTAGTCAGTACTTAGTCATGAGCAGCCAATGCTTCCTTTTGTAGCTAAATTAATGTTTCTTGGGAACACCTAAAACTACATAACCACAAAAAAATAAACAAGTCATTCTGTGTTACCCCAAGATCTATCCTAGCCCATTATTTTCTGTTTGGCAGCAAGTGGTAACAAACATCTGAGGAAAAGTATAAAGACAGGATTAGTATGTAGTGGTACAATCTCCAGGTTACTCCCATTTAAAACTCAGAGTGCTCCAGGCTTTGTATGTCTCAGTATATTTGGGTATTTGTAAATTTTCAACAGAAACTCCCATCAGACACAGCAGTGGTGAGAAATCTTGGCTTTTGTTGTTTCCCAACTTGTCATGTATTCATCAGCTGCTCTGGCTCCTTCTGTCTGAAGTGAGCAGTTGTCACCTAGCAGTCTTTTCACCACCTGTGATTTTTCTAGACCTATTGTCTATTCTGAACTGAGTAGCTGTGGGTTGGTTTTTTTTAATAATTGGAAAATTACTGTATCCCTCTTTTTAATTTTCCCTTTTTATTAATCATGGTAGTTTTTATGCAAGATGTTTCTCAAACTATTTGTAGCTTTTGAAATGAGATGATCCTTTCTAATTTGCTTTCCAAATGATTTGGTTTGAGTTAAATACCTTGTCTGATCCAGTTTGTTTCCTTTGGGATTTTTCTTTAAGTCTTTTTGGCATAGATGGCTTGTGTTTGCTTTGACATTTCAGAGTCACCTGTTGCCATATAATCTGTGAAGAGTTTCAGCTATCTGTCTTTCCACATTTTTATGCACCTCTCCTTTGAAGTGAAGCACGAGAAAGGTGATTTTTTTTTTCTGCATGCTTAGTAGCAAGACTGTTGAATTCACATTATGTTCCATTTCCTGTTGTTCAAAACTACATCTTTTTAAAACTGTCTTCACTGAATCCAGCTCTTTTGACTGCACTTTGTTGCCTTTCACTGTTTTTACTGGAATCAAAGCCTCATCATCCCAGTAGAGAATTGCTTTAAGAAACTTCTAGGTACCATCAAGAAGTGCCTGACATTTTAGCTCTAAGATTTAGGTCCCATTGTGCTTTAGGTGTGAAGTAAAGTCTGCAAAGACTCTTCAGCAGCAAGAAAATATTTAATCACTCTAGCCAGTATTCTTAATTAACTCCCCAGTTCCAAAACATGAACTTTCCTGGCAGATTACATGGTATATGTGAGAAAACCGATGCTTACCTAAAGAACAGTTCCTGTTTAATTACTCCACACAACAAAGGTCAAGTTGCTTTGATTTATTTCTATTCCCCAAGTCCACATTACAAATCGCACATTTTAGACTTCAAGAAATGAAAGCAAAATAGCCAAATTCCACTTCATCAATCAAGTGTCTATAAAAAGTATGGATCAAATGGAAACCAAGTAGCAAAGACCAAAATGTATATTTTTTCCACTTCACCAAAGTATCTGAGGTTGGTTCACATAATGGTTTATGGAAATAACCTGAACAGAAATAAATGCTAGTAGTCTAATGGGCTACATAGAAAAACACTTCAGTTATATTCCACTGGATGACCAGTCAATTACAAAGACAGGTATTTGCAAAAACAGCTGGGGATTTTTTTAAGGGGCCAGTTTTTTGAACCAAGACACATCACAGAGCACACATTTTTAATCTCCCTCCAGGATTTCAAAGCAGTGAAATGTGTTGTTCCAGGAAAACAAAAAACAAAAACAAACAAACAAAACAAAACAAAAAACCAAAAGAGAACAATGTTACTGAACTTTATCATTCAACTTTTATACTTGGGCAAGTTGGCATCATCATTCAAAATAAATTTGTACAGAACTTAGAAACAAAGTTATCTAAAATATCAAGTAATCAATTAAGGCCCATTCCTGTCTTCAGTGGGATATTTTCCTGAGTGAGGAATGCAGGATATGGCCGCCTGTTTGAAGAAATCTCATTTTCTCCAGCACAAAAGTAACCAAGGAATCCCATTTCAGTTATTCTAGAGTTGCTCCTAACATCCCAATTAAAATTAGCCAGTATGAAGCTCACCAAACACTTGATCCTCTTAAATAAACTCTCTAATGAACCACACAAATTCACACTAACAGTGAAGGCAGACTAACAGTGTATATCTTTTCTACAAAAAAAATCCACCATAAAAAACAGCAATAATATCCAGATTTGTACTTGATTGTGAAATATTCTGATTGTACCATATAGTACATTTATTTGAAAAAAAAATCCTAGTATGTTGGGTTGTATTAATTTCTAACACTTGAAATGTTTCAGAAAACTGCAGAATCACTATACATATTGCACTTCTCTGGCAAGCTGGGCTACTGTATCATGGCAAAAACAACCAAGTAGATCTACTGAGGAATACAGCTTTTTTAAACCCAAAAATAGCAACTGACTTTCTTTCCTGCAGTTTTCATTAGAACTGTAACAATATTCTTTACAGGCTTTTCTAGGCATTTGTTTCTGAAGGACTGTGTTACTTGTTGCAGAATCTGTATTTATTTTTTTTTTACTCAACAAAACTGAAGGTAATGGATAGATTCAACATAGAGTGCACTATCTTCCTTCAGTCACAAACAAAATGAAGACAACACAAATCATTAATACAGTTACACTTAGGCCTCAGGTTACTGTCGCTCTAAAACAGTTCACCTCAACACAAATAAAACCAATAATGAACTATTTGTTTTGAGTGAAAAACATTAATCTTTTGCAGCTTGGTTTTAAGTTTGATTCCTTACACTGAAAAATCTTAGCACATTTGTTCCAGAGTCAGAGAAAACGATGTAGTTTTAGAGAAAAAGCTTTCAAAATGCTTGACACAAACAAGCTATTTATTCTTCGAGTTCTTTGTCAAAGATGTTACTAAAACCTTCTGTCCATTTCATGAACACAGGAAATATCCCAGGATGTCTTGAGTCAAAGTGGTCCATAAAATAATTCTTTGGAATGCCTTAAGATTGGCTATAACTAGAGTTCTGGCTACCATTTGGACCCTGTTCTCCTTCACTGTTGAAGAAAACAAAAACATGTATCTTCAATAAGAAGCACCACATTACATTTTTATCTTTTTTTTAAATTAAAAAATACAGTATTCTGAAAGTAATAAAAATCTTTGGAAAGAAAATACTTCAACATATACATAAATAGGTCAAAATATTCTGCTCAGTTTCATAAGAAAATGCAAAGGTTATTCTCAGCATGCATAAATAACTTCACCATATTTATGTGAATAATAAATTCAATATATGCCCATGAAGCTGCCTGCTGAATCTACTTCTGAAGTCAACACTGCAAAGTTCACATTCCATGAGCATGTGCACAGGAATTTGCAAGTGCAGATTCCCAGCAGTGATATTTAATCACAGTAATGAGATACGACACCATCAGGCCCAGTTCCATTGAATCTGGCCCAGCCATGGAGCCTCTCACTGGGGTTCCTTACATCTGCTGAGCTGTATTGATCACATTCTAATCACATTAACACTCTCTCTAAGATAATGAACGTTATGCTTCCCACTGGCTCCTGAACAAGCAGGCTGGTTTTGTATCAGAAACATCTGGGCTGTAAAAACATCCACTACACCTTGAATTAAACATTTGCACATTCTTAAGATCGCAGTGTAGTTTTTCCATGGGAAAGGTGCAATAAGGAAGTACCATACCTGTTTGGAGGTGGTTTTGGTTTAGGCATTTTACTAAGAATAGTAGCCATCTCTTTTCTCTCATCAAAGTTCTTCCACTGCTCATACAGCTTCAGAATAACCCTGATTATTTCTAAAATCTGAATTAGAAAGAGAAGAGAGCCTAAGGTCAGCCACAACAGTGATTTCACCTTTGTCATAGCCCGTTTAATTGTGCAATCAACTAAACAGGCCCCAAGCTGAAACTAAGCAACACAATTTTCATATTATAAACAGAGCTGTCTCACACTTAACCTGGTCCCAAAAAGCATTTAATTAGCTTTTTGATTAGTGTGATAAGGAGTATGACTACTACTTCAATTTGCTTGCTGGAGCTAAATAAAGGTTAAAGAAGCCAACCTGAAAAGTAAAAGAAACTAGTGAGGATGAAGAGCATTGTTAGTATAGGGACAACTGCACCCTGAAATAACCTAATAAACCTAATAAATTAATGAAGGGGATTATTTGACACAGAATTTGCATTAGCAGGGAACTCAATTGAATGATCTTGGTGTCTCCCTGCTTAGCACTGACTGAAGTCACAGTGCTGGGCATCCTCAAAGTGTCAAAAATGTTCTACACTAGCTATACTCTACACAGGTACAGGGAGGAAATGAGAATGGTGTGCTGGCACGATGCTGAAAAGTGAATCAGAAAATCACATGCATATGAACTGAAAAGTCAAACTCATACTGACAATCTTGTGTGACAGAAAAACACTGGGAATCCTTTTTCTGGCAAACAATGTAAAAGATATTTGGTTTATATTTTGGTCTGGAAAATGGCAGTACCAGCAATGCTCTTCTGTTATGTAGTGGTTTTGTCTTGACTTTCAGAGCAGGGTGATAACCAAATAACCTGACATTGTCTCCCTTCCAAAGAGATCTGCCTAAGTGCACAGCATCTAACAAGAGCACTGAATTTTAAGTTCAAACTTCTATTGCAGATATGTAAGACAACCATGACTACCATTTCTGGTCAGTCCATAACAAGTGGTGGGAATAAAAAACAGAGTACCTTTTCCATATCAACAGACAGCTCAGCAAACCATTGCCTTGCATCCTTCTGCTGGACAACACAGGCCACATGTAGGCAAGCTGCAAAGATCAGGTGACATGGATACTGAATAAAGATGCACTCCCAATACAGTTAGAAACATTCCATTTTTTATAAACCCTATACAGTTCAACAAAGGAAACTCGGGATTAATTATCTGACTTTTCTTTAAGGCTTTTAAAGTTGCAAGGCTACAGTGTCAGTGCTGAATGAGACACAACCTGAAGCACCTTATGAGGGCACTCTGAGGAATGCTTGTGATGGGGCAGTGCACAGAATACATCCAGGTAAACATGACCAGGAGACATTACTTGTTACTTACCTAGAGCTATCATGAAAGGAGGGTACAGCAGACAAAGATCAGTTCTGTATGTGTCATTCACTATCCTCCTGTGCAAAAAAGAACTTGTAAGTATCTTCCTATTCACCATGAAACTATATTCCTTCAAAAACTGCTGTTGGTTTACAAATATTTTGTCAGTTTTCCAGATGGTCGAAGCAATGAGGCTGCAGGGCAAAATATCAATGAAAGATCTTTTCCCTTGTAAAAATCTCTTAGCCTTTCTTTTTTTCCCTTATAGTCACAGCAGAAGTTTATTTGGAAACATTCTTTTAGTACATAAATGTCTTTCTGCAGTGGATGTGCATGTATACCACCAAATAATTATCTGTTTCACAAATAAGTAAAGACTAGCATAAAAGTAGTACTTCTACTGTCTTTCTGTATTTGAAACAGTTGAAGAATGAGTTCTGCTAACACAGCTAAAAAACCCTATATATTTGCTTCTACCTCTATTGTAAAGCAGGGCAACCCCCAACATCTGGGAGAAATTATGCATCTGACTCCATGGATATAAAAGGGCAAATTAATTAATTTATTATACTATATTACATTACATCTAAACTGAATCTGCACAAGCACTCACTCAACTCAACTGCCCAGAATCTCGTGACTGTCAGCCAACAGTCCCCACACACATGTGGATTCAATTGGTCAGTGAATCAAAAGACACCAGAATCCAATTACCAATTCTCTTCAGGTAGACAATCTTCCACAATGAATTCCACTTGTGAACAACAAGAGGAGCAGCACTTGAGATAAGAATTGGTTTTTTCTTTCTCTGAGGCTGAGAGAATGTGAATCCCAGAAATATCCCTGGGAAGTTGTGCCTTGCTTTTCTCTGGGAAGAGAAATGTGGCTACAAACCTCCTATGACAATACTGACAGAAAGAAACTTCCTCTACTCGTAGTCACCATTCAGTAATGTTGAAACTGTGCCATTAGAGCTAGTTTAACAAAATAAAAATTAGACCACTGCCAAGTAAAATCATTACAGGGCTAAAGAGAGAATGAGCTAATTCAGGGACATATACCTGCACAGGTTAGCTAGGGCACCCTTTCTATTCAAATATGGCTAAGCCTGCTTGGTTCAGCAAAAGCTTAACCACCTTTGAAGCATAACTGCTAAACACTTGCTTTCTTGATGAAAAGAGGAACTATTCCCATTGTCTTCATTACCATGCAAGAGGTAGCAGCATGTCTTCTTGGCCCATATCTTGCACATATTGGAGCAAAGGTCTATAAGGATGATATACTATCAAACAGCAGTCCTAGGAAAAATGTCATTGGACAGAAGTTAGATTTCAATACAGAGCATGTTGTCAGTTCATATTAAAACATTTGGTTTACAAGTCAATTACTGATTTTTAAGTAGCATTCTAACACCTAGCCCTGCTCTAATGAGGGCAGTGCTCTCTCTAGAATACCATTACACAGCACAGTTGCCAGTCTGTCAATGTCCTTCCCCTAAGAGACACAGAGAGTCACATCTGCAGCACACTGAAACCTCATTTGCTTACAAACCCGTAATTCCCACTTGGAAACACAAAATGCTGCCAGGAAACAGTCTGCTACTAAATACCATACATGGAGAGCATGCCAAAATCATTGATGCTGGTTTGGAAAGAAAGGAAAGAAAAATTCCACTGCTCTCAAATCCCCTCATTTCAGGTCCAGGTAAACAACAAGGAATAATCCTCTTGCTAAAAGCAGCCAAATGTGTGGATACTACAGGGAAAAGCTACATAAAGTTACATGTGCTGAACACTTATGTGAAACACCATTACTGCACACACTATACACTGCATAGTGTACTGGAAAAATAAGTGAATCCCCAAAACATAACTTCTTGTAAATGCAATTACTTGTGCTAAAACTCCTGTATACAAAAGTCAAGAGTTACTGCCATGCAGAGCAGAGGTATCAAGGATTAAATCTAAACAGGAATCTAAAGACTGTATTAAAATTACTTGTAAGTACAAACAAAAACTTTGATCTGATTTCCTCTGTGTTCAGTTCTCAAAACATATTCTCTCATCTGCTGCTTAACTCACTAAGCTGCTGCCTGGTTTCTCACTCCTTTTCTCTGCACTTGAGCAGAACTATTCTAGCACAGCAGTACTAGAGTTCAGTGCTTAACCCATCCAAGTCCAAGCCATATGCAGAAATTAGGCACCTCTTTATCCAAGCCCTGTAAGAAGCCTGGGTTGCCTCCTTTCAGCTACCAAACGCAGCAATGGCATAGCTACTCTCACAAAAATCAGGTATGGCTCCTTTAGTTGAAAGGGTCTGGAAGAAAATGTCCCACTGTGCTCCTTTCATCCACAAGCCTGATAGTTACAGCACCACCTCAGAAAATGGGAGGCCTGAATTCAGTTTCTTCCTCACAGGATTTAAGCCACATCTCACTTCCTAGAAGATTACTCTAATTATTAGGTTGCTATAGACTAGCCTGAGTGGGATAGTAGCCACACCTTCTGCTAGAACACATATATGCAGCCTCAGATTCTTTCTGGCAAAAAGAAGAGGGCATAGTAAGAATACAACTCTTCATGGTCATAACTGGGCATTACATCTAGGGAAAAAGGGACACTGACATCCCAGTCTCTGCATCAGGACTTAGATCCAGTTACCTCTCTCACAAAAACAAAAGCAGATCCACCAAAAAACCCAACCTACCATTAATTCTAAGAGATAGAATTCACATTCTAGTATCTGTAAAGAAGCAAAATCACAGTTAATAAGCAGTATGTTTCAGGCAGCAGAAAGAATTAACTGACACAGAGTTTAACATCAAAAATGCACAAGAATTCTCAACAACTATTTCCAACAGTCCTAAATGCATTTTATCTGAAACTACAAAACCAAACAAAAATAAAATTATTATTGGCTATTGCCTTATCACTATTATAACTCAACTCCAGTCATAACAACAAACAAGTTGAATATTTTGCATCAAGTTTGCTATGAAAGACTGCTTCATTGGCAGCACTTGCCTGATTTGTTTCAACACCTGGTAGCAGCAAATTTTTCTCAGTGCATAAGAACTTCACAGCAATAGAGAAGTTGTTTTGTAGAATTACAGCATCTTCATCAGCTCACTAACTTGTCAAATAGCCTTTCAAAACATTTTCAGATTTAATTTCATATGAAATATTCTGTGCAATTGTAACAATTAAATCAGCTCTAACTCTCAATACAAAAGGTGATGCATTGATGACATGAAGGAAAAGACTGGACTACTTTTGCTATACGAAAGCAAAAGTATATTTTGCTCCAAAATGTATTTCCATTTGTCTTTATCTATAAAATAGCAGTGCAGTTTTATTATAAGATCTTAGGTATTTTATACTCTGATGCATCATTTGGCTTTCTAGATTGGGTGAAAAGCAAACCAACAAAAAAGTAGTATTTGTTACAGCCAGTCTAAAACTATTTAGATGTTTAGCTTTCCAAATTCTACAGCACAGGTCAAAATTCGTTTTAAGAAAAACTACAAAGCTTCTCAGTATTGTGACTGAGAATACCTTGAAAACCACTGGTAAATTTAAAGTACTAATTAAAAACTATTTTTCAAGAGCCATTAAATTTTACAGGCAAAAATAAAACTGCTTTCTGTAAGCCAACTGCTCATGTGTGCAAGCTTGGAAGCATTCCAGGTGCAAAGGCCATTTACTTTCCCTGGAGCAATGTATTTGTAATCAAGAGTATTCAAAAAAAACCTAAATCTCTTTTCTTATCATGCTATAGAAAAACTACCATTTCAGTCATCCTACCACATCACTTGTCTTTCCTGTCAACAATTTAAGGAAAGGAGGTTACATAACATTTTTATTATTTTTAAAAAGTAAATTTCCCAATATTCTATATAAAACTAATCATGAACAAACCTGACATACGAGTATGAAAATATTTTTTTCTTAGTATTTAAAAGAAAGAATTTCCTGCTAATAATTATTTATTTGATCAAGTTGTATTTCAAATAGCATACTTACATGGTTCATCCTATAAGGAAACTCCTTTGGAAAGGCATATGAAAATCTAGTTTTCACTACAGTAAACAGAAAAAAGTATGTTAAAAATAATGTAATTAATACTTCTTTCCCTTTCTATTTATTCATCTGTATATAGCCCTTCAAATCTACCTGGCAGCACAACTTTCAGTTTGTGGCTTTCTATACAAAAGGCTTGTATTTCAAAGAGAAGAGGTAAGTTACAAGATTTAAGATCCTGAAAAGGAAAGAGAAATCCATCTAAAACCCAGATTTGCACAGACACTCAGCCAGACATTTGACTGCTGCTTTGGGCACTATCAAGTGTTCTGGTTAACCACCAAGTAGCTCAGGGACAGCTAACTTCCCACAAGTTATCATTCACAGAGCTCTCCAGCTACTGATGTTCAGGATCTCAGTACGAACACTAAATCCAAATGGAATTTTCATGTGGGATTTTTTACATAGGTTTGATCTTTCAACATGGAAGGTTTTAAAGGAACTAATGAAGTCTTAGAAAGCAAGCCCAAAGGCAGGGTAAGAGAGCTCAGCCAGACTTCTTGCAGGTCCAGAATGTAATGATAATCTCTAATTGAGATATTTAAGTAATCTTTGTGTATTTTACAAGGAAAATGAGTACAGTTAGTGCACTGGTAAGAAACATGCTAATATGCAAAACCAGAGTGATTTCATGTATGAAATGCTGAACAAGAAAAACAAGAACACTTGAAGATGTGGATTAGACTTTTGTACACATAAAACATTTAAAAAGCTATTTTAAGTCCTTGTCATCCAAGGAAAACAAGTACCATTTAACATCCTGGAAGTGGACAATATTCCTTATGTTAATGACAGACAGTATATTATTAAATTATACTATTGCTATTACTTCCAGAAAATCAGTATGACATTCAGTTCAAAGAAAAGACAGCATCAGTCTTCTGGACCAAAGAATTCACCATTTAGACCTAGGGTGAACTTTGCTAGAAAATTTGTTGTAGGACACAAGACTGGGCTACTGGTTGGAAATTTTAATTACTTCAAGAAAGAGAAGAATTAATAAGAGAGTTTCTCAAGATGTATGCAAACTGAAGATGTTCATGGTAAACAAAAAAAACCAATTTGAGAAAGAAGCTAGGGAGAAAAAGCATTTTTCCCACAAAGCAAGCTGCAGACACAACTACTACACAGAGCTGTCGTTTTAGTGAGATGTGTTAACAGAAGAAAAACCTCTTGAAGAGGTTATTGAAAACCAGGCTAAGATCATCTTCCTTACAAAGGAAGCAAGTGTTATTAACTTCATGTTGTTACTGAGCTAAAAGCAAACAAACCTCTTAAACCAGCCACTATTACATTAGTCAGCCCTTTTGTTAGCTTTTTTTTGGTTTTACTTGTCTCATCTTTTCTTGCCTTTGGTATTAAGGCCTCCCAAAAACTGCTGTGTGCTACTGAAGCAACTCTGGTAAAGGAAGACCAGGTGGAATAAAAGAATAAATGCTTGGAGAAAGCCTGTTGCCTGCCCCCACTTCCATGAAATGCACAGTACTCATCAGGGCTGACAGGACTTCTAGGTGTGAAGGAAGAGCTGTGAGGAAAATCTTCTATAGGGTCCTGAGACTGGAATTCTGAGAAACAGCACAGCTAAGAACCAGATGTCTAAGTAAAATCAGCTGCCACATATATACCAAAATCCATCTAACCATGTCACTTATGCATCAAAACTTCCAGACAATGGTGCTTCTGATGTAAAAATAGCAACTCTCAGTGCTAAACCCAGTACTGGTCTTGGTCATGCTGGCACCAAAGATGTGTTTCAGCTCCTGGTGGCAGAACTGTCACAGGGCCAGCCCCATGGACTGATACACTGTGTGCATCTGGAGGCTGCAGATGCAGCCAGTCACCTGTCCCCTCAACAGCTGACCTACATTTGGCAGAGCACAGGCAGAAATTGCCCATTGAGAGCAGCTGGACCTTCTGGGTCAGATAACAGCATTCAGCTAAGGAAGACATCACTTCAAGAGTTTGATGGATGACATGTAGGTTACATGAACTGGCAAATACAAAGGCAAGTGGGAAAGATAGAGGATTAAGTCATTACAGTGTAATTTTATTGAATTTATTGTGAACAATTGGTCATAAAATGTATTTTTAGAAATAAATACCATGTGCAAAGACTAATTTTATGATGTGGAAAAAAGGATTTTAAAAATTCTGAAGGTATACAGCCTACCAAAAATTCTTAAAACGGGTTCTTTCACAGAGCCATACCTTTTACTAAACAGGCAAAGTTGTAAATTTCCAATTCTATCTTTGAGTAGTTCAGCATTCAATTTACTACTCGAGGTTGTTTATAAATTTCAATAGTTTTATTTTATGACTTTGTTTTCATTTATGCTTGGCATAAGTTCCAACCATAATCAACCAAAACTAACACAGAACGGACTCTTCTGTCTCTGTATTTGGAAACAGAAGCTATTTATTCTAAATGGTTTTAACTGGCTCTTTAAGTCCTCCATGATTTGACAAAAAGCTACCTTTTAAAAAAAGCAAAGAAACCAACTGATCTCCCTACAGAGATACTTAATTAGAGTGTAATGAAAATTACTGATACTTACATACAGAAGTAGCAGCAGAAATCAATCTTGTATTTGAAACAACACCAAATTCCTGAAGAAAAAGAATGGTAAATGAGGTGAACCACCTGAAACACCACACACACACACTACTATCAAATTAAAATAATGGCTTCTTACTAAACTGGGCTTCCTTTTGCAGTATTGTAGTATTTGGCTTTTTACCCCACCCCTTTTTTTCTTTCCTTAAGGTAAACAGGGCTAAACTCTACCTAAGAGTTGCTTCATTGATTAGTTTCTTGGTTGTTTGTGAGGAACAGTAAAGATTTATGAAAGGTACAAAAGCATCAAAAGCTCAGCTGGCTAACATTCTTTTTATAAAATAGAGAAGACAGCTTCAGGGAGGTTATTTTTTTCCTTATCCCATTTAGAGAGAAAACTGTCTTTAGAAGCCTGCCATTAACTGCCCTTTTTACTTATGTTTTTGTGAAGTCTTAGCTCCTGTGCAGAGACAGTCAGCAATCTGAAAATTTTTTTGTATAGAGTGTTCTTTCAGAGAAGTCCATAGCTGAATCAAGAGTGCTGCCCTCTAAAGCTGCAGAAGCTTTAGGAAGGCTACAAAGGAAGGAAGGCTGCACAGACTTCTAATTTAAGGTACATCTATGTATATACACTCTATGTCTGTGCCTGCTTAAATGCTCATTTAACAGGTTGATAAAAAAGCAGTCTCTCCAACACTCTCTCTTTTCCTTGATGTCTTCCAAACACTGAAGAGTGGCACAGTACTTGTACAGACAACAGTATCACATGTCACCACTAGTTTTAATAGGACTGTTTCTACCATCCATTAAGTATTTGAGCTCCTTCTGTAAAACTCCTTAGTGCTGACATATCATAAAGTGGCCAATTTGACATTTTTCCATTACACAGACACTTCTCAAACAGCTGTAAACTTGCTGCATTACAGAGGACTCACACTAACTCTTGGCCACATTCAAAGGGGAGCACTGATGGTGAAGGCATGGAGCTCTTTCAATATGACTCCTAATGGGTCAGTACATTATAATTTCTCAAGGACAGAGCACGAGCTACAACATACTTTTAATCCAAGTAATGAAAGTGTGGTATACTCTGAGGATCCCTTGCTACATGAAATAGAACAAGATAATTAGGGGAAAAAATTCCCATTATGTTTTAAAGTTTGAGTGAACATAAATAAGGAGAAACACACCAGAAAGGAGACACTGATTAAGATATACACAATTTAAGATACAGTGTATGTAAATATTTCAACATTGTATGACAGCAAAACAGCCATTTAAAATATTTTTTTCAGTTTTCAGAGGCACTTCAAGGTTAGTAATTTAGACAAATTTTGAAGGCCTTCTCTGTCTCCTTTTCTTAAATGCTATAGAAATCTATGCAAAAAAGAGAAGGTTTAACCCCCAAAGCATGAAGAAAGACAAAAAATTTGAAAGTCCTAAACGTTTTCTTTCTCTCATACATCACATAATGTTACATTAAAAAATTGTAATACTTCATACCTCTACTTTGGATGCCAAAAACACACACGTAGGAGCCATTAATACTGGATCTATACTTTTTAGGGAATATCTGAAATGTTACAACAAAATTATAATATGTTGTTTCATACATGTAGAACGATTAATCTATTAAGAGCACCACACTTCCTTTTGAAAAAGCAAAGCTTAAGTTAACTTTATTAAAGCATAAAAGCTTTACACCATCCAGAAAACAAAAGTGGCACTGTTTTTAATACAGAACTGCATTTTTAAAGGGCTACCAAAATGTGCCTAGCAAATGTTTTATTCTTGTACCATCATAGTAAACAGTCCTACCTGGCATAGAATCTCTTGAAGTAGACTGTAGCAGTGGCAATAACTTGTTGTCTTAATTTAAGATGTTCACCTAAAGCCTGGATAACTTAAAAAAAAATGAACAAAAGCTTGAGTTGAGTTTTTTTAAACAATTTGACACCAAATAGCAAAGGGTCTCAAAACACAGCTAGTGCTGGGGATTCTAAGGAGCAGCACCACAGTCTTCTCCCTCTGTTGCTCTAGAGAGACAACACACTGCTGCAAACCTACGGACCTGCAGGTGAAGAACCGCTGCCTCCTGAAGCTTGGGGACACCTTCAAAAAGGAAAAGGAACTTGGATTCATTGTGTACAAAGTGAGTGTGACCTTTAAGAAGATGACAGCACAAACCTCAGAAGGGTAAAGCTCAGGTATTCCATATTAGAGCAAAACAAATTCAGACACAGAAAGTATAAATCCTCGGCTCTTCACTGCCACACAAAATGGATGGTATTTTTTCAAATATGTAAAACTGCCAACACAAACACGGTCATTACATTTGGCAGAGGCAGCAGGTGTTAAAAAAATGACATATTTAGTCTAGGGAGAGGGGGTGGGAGACCAGAGGATGCAGTCAGCTGCTCCATCACGGTGGTCCTCTGCCAGTTGGCCAAGAAACAACCCTGGTGTCATCTGTGCAGGTAGCTCTTGTTTGGCCTCCCAGGCAAAGGAAAGGTGCCAAGCAAATTAGATGCATCAAGCTGGGATTAAGAGCAGGGGTTGATGTAAAGAATGGCACAGTGAAACATAAGGCTGTTACTTGTTATTTTTCCCATACTTCTGCACCGCCATTATTCTGAGAACGGCTCGGCTCTGTGAAGACTCCCTCTTCTTTTTTTCCTCCCTCATGAGAAATGTCAAAAACAGTATTTTAAAATACACTTAAGTAGATACTTAAAATATGTACAGCAAGACCATGACAGTGACCACTGGTGGGAAAAGCAAACAATTCTGTTGTCAATCACCACTAAATTCTTAGTCTCTACTTAAACACTGAAGTTGAGAGTTTGCCCATGCTGTTATCATGTATCCCCGGTGAACACAGGGTACACATTTGTCACCCACTGGCAAGGCCCAAAGCAACAATAAATCCCTGCCTGTGTCACATCATTCTTTTTCTAGAGAAGAATACCAAATTGGGACTAGTTTGACAGTGACAGTAGGACAAGCAATACTTCCAAAAAGGATGTTAAACCCAGTCTGCAATGTCTGTACAAATATTAAACATTTGATCAGCATATCTTGGGAGCTTGGAAAGAATTTCTGCCTTTAATTTGACCATGGGGCTAAAAAGCTGTCCTACTACTAGGGCATCAGAAAAATTCAAGTGTTAGGCTAAACAGAATTCTCCAAATATGTCTCATACTCCCATGGGATTTTCAGCAATGGTTAGGCCATCTGCTGTCAGAGAAAAATCAAGTGTGGTTTAGAAGAAAAAAATGGACAAGAGCCTAGAGAGACTTAATGAAATGGAAGCTTGTATATGCTGGGAAAAAGTCCAATGCTTAAAATTATTTTAATATTTGAAAATATTAAAATTTGAAAATATTAAAATTTGAAAAGAAACTGTAAGATCATTTATTCCTGCATGTTTAGAAAGTAAGCAGTTTCAGCAGTTTGGGGTTTTTTAATAAAGGTTGTTTAAAATCTGAGTATTTTTAGTAGCCTCTAACACAAACATTACTGCTTCTGCCCAAAACCAAAAAGGGAAAACAACTAATACACTTCTCAACCAAAACCAGTTAAGGCTTGGTGATCCAAACAGAGAAATCAACATCAGTTTATTTTTTCCAACTACTTTAGAAGATGATCTTTCCTTCTCTTCATAGCTGCAGGGAGCCATACAATCAGTTAGTGATCTACTGCACTTGTTTTCCAATGAGAAAGCAGCAGGAAATTGCCCCTCTCCATGCAGATTTTAATTGCTTTAGGGAACAACCATCTCCTGGGCTGACACACACTCAATGTGACATGCTGGGGCCAGGCCTCAGCTGCTCTCAGGTAGTGCAGATGGGAGACAAGGGGGGACCCAAAGCAGGGTCTCTGTTCAGAGGCAGCAAGGACACAACACATGGAGGGTTTGAACACAGGGAGCTCTGCCTGAGCACAGAGCAGCCCTGCCCTCTGTCCTGCCCTCTCTGCTAGAGAGGGGAGAAAGCCCAGCACCACTCACTCCTGCACTGTAGGCTGTGTTTGTCCAGGCACAGGGGAGATGCTGGCAGAGCTGCTCTCCAGCTGCCCCCAGTCACTCACCTACCTTCAGGGGAGGCAAGCAGTGCCAAGGAAAAGGACCCTGGGAACCACAAACCATAACTAACAAACTAACTCATTTGCTTTGTAAAGCTTTGTTTACCCAAGAAAAACAAGTGAAGTGAAACATTTAAAAGGCTTATTTCACAGTTCAAATTAATACTAGTGAAAATTAGCAAAGAAATACAGTTTTAGAAATATCCATAACTCTCCTTCTGTCTCTTTTTGTATTAAGAAGTCAGACACTTGGTTTTAACCTCAAGAAATTTCAGGAATGTCAAATGGGTAAATCATTGCTAGCTTGATTTCCTGATGCCCTACAAGCAATAACACAGAGGTATCCATAGTGATCGTGTTTATAGCATATGCAATTGTTACAAAAATAGCTGAGCTAAGAGAGAAGCAATGGTATCTTTCACAGATACCATTCCAGCACTGACATAAGATCTTCCAGTGGCTCTGGGAAAGTCACTTCACTTCTCTGTCACAAGTCTGGCCAGATAGCTGAAAAAAATAAGCATTCTCTACTTTAAAGGAATGCTGCAATAAATATATAAAGAGCTGCTTGCAAACAAGTTACTAGTTAGCAATATCCTTTGTGTAAGGAGATTTTTTTAAACTACTGAACAATTGCACAGAGAAAATTTTAAGTGCCTTTGTAATCTGATATACTCAGGTGTGGCCATTCATATGGATACCTAATGCTTTGCAAGATCAAGTGGATCTTAGACAACTTCACACACAAGTCCCAAATTCTTTGGGAGAACAGGCTGCTTGCCAACAGCTCTCAGAAACTTGTTGACAATTTGAGAGCCACCTGGTACTGGGAAATCAGTCAGAAGACAAAACACGGGCTGTGTTGCAGGTTTCAGAGAATCTAAGTGAACACAAATAACAAGATTCCAAATTCTGCTGTTTAACAGGATGGCACAGATCACCTAAAATATTTACCCCACCCTAAGAACCTCCCAAAAGCCCAAGCTGAGTACTAATGCTTGACATTGAGCCTTTAATACACAAGCTTAGAAGTTTCTGCTTGCTTCTCCTCCTTTTATGTTTTGATAAGAACCTCTTGAAAATACGAAAATTTACTGTTTCATCCTATCACAGGTTAAAATGTCATATATGCAGCTAATTAGCCTGCAAGGTCTCCTAGAATTGTGTTAGTACAACTAACAAATTGTTTATATCCCACAGCTTTGTTAAAATAGGCTGTGAAAGTATATGTAATACAACAATGAAAACATTTCATTCTCTAAGCAATTCAAACCTCCGTTTAGACATGGCACATATTGCACAGATTTTATGGCAGAAATAAAAAAAAAGCTTTACCATTAGTAAAAAATATCTGTAGCTTCCAATATTCTTCTTCAGTCAGAAATTTCAAGTCTTTCTGGCGTTCTTTCAATAGATCTTGTTTATCCAAAATCCATTGTAAGCTAGAGGAATGGAAAATAATTTCAGCAACTCTTTTATCAACATTATACTGTATCTCCTGTACAAACAGACTATGAATTAAGGCTCGGGGATAAAGAGCTTGTGGCCTTAAACAACGCCACAAACAATCTCCTCAAGCAACTGTTCTTCAGGATTTTTGAAAGTTAGACAACTGAAAACAAAGCAACAAAAAACCAGAAACCAAACAACAAAGCATGAGCTACCAGGGGCTGAGATGAGCCTCTCCCAGTAAGATGGCTGTACGGATCTCAGACCCCGGGAATCGCTAACAAGGTTTATGCTGCAGCCATTTCATCACGGCACCATTCAAACCTTGACCATGCGCTCAGCATGAAGTGTTCCAGAGCAGAATCAGAGAATCAATCAGGTTGGAAAAGACCTCTGAGGTCCAGTCCAACCCCTGACTGAACACCACCCCGTCAACTACACCGAGTGCCACGTCCAATCTTTTCTTAAACACCTCCGGGGACGGTGACTCCACCGCCTCCCTGGGCAGCCCGTCCCAGCATCAATCCAATATCAACTTCCTGATGTCCGCCCAAGCCGCCGAGGCCCGGCTGCCCCACGGCTGGGGACCGGTGTGTCAGGGACCGAGCTCCCGCACTCCGGAGCCCGGGGAGCCGCGGGCACCCACACCGGGACACGATCCCTGTCCCGGAGCGCCCAAACGCCTCCCGAGCGGCGGCTGAGCGGGGCCGGCCCAGGCTGTTCCCGCACCCGGCCCGGCTCCCTCCAGGGTCCCGCGGCGAGCAGGCCCCGCCGCCCGCCCGGCGCTCCCGGGCCTCCCTCCAGCGCCGTGCCCGCCGCCCGGCCCGGCAATGAATGGCCAGAGCGCGGCGCCGGCCCGCAGCACCCGTGCCCCGCGCCCCGCGGCCGCGGCACCCACTAGTGAGAGCTCTGCCAGAAGTTCCCGGCCATGGGAAGGAGCGGAGCGGAGCGGGGAGGAGGCGCCCGGGCCCGTGATGCCCCGGCCCCGCCGCCACAGCGCCGCCGCCCCCGCGCCGGCAGCAGGAAGGAGGAGGCGGCCGCCGCCGCCGCCGGCCGGCAACACGCGGCACTGGGAACCGTTCCCCCGCGCGCGGGTTCCGCCCGCCCCGCCGGCCCCCGCAGCCCCCCTGGCCCCGCGCCCCGCTGGCTGCCACAGGGACACGGACCGCGATGGGCCCGGAGGGAGGCACCTTCCCAACCACCCGGTCCAGCCCCCGCCGTGTCCACGGACACCTTCCCCTAGGCCAGGTTGCTTCGCGCGCCGTCCAACACGGCCTTGGGCACTGCCAGGGATGGGGCAGCCACAGCTGCTCTGGGCAGCCTGTTCAGTGCCTCACCACCTTCACATGGAAAGAATTTCATCCATATTTCCAGCCCAAATCTGCCCTCTGTCAGTGCAAAACTGGCTGCTTCTCCCAATAAGGTCCCTACTGTGAGCAGCCAGGAAGATCCAGAGCTTACTTGTCTTGTGCTGCCTCCACCTCACCTAAATCTCCCTTTAACTTCCCTGTTCCCAAGTTTTCATGGCTCAGCTTGCTCCGTGCTGGAATTTTCCTCATCCGAGAGAGCCTCTAGAGACATTTACTTAATAATTCTAGATTTAAACTACAAACAGGACGTTCGTGGGCCTGCTTTCTTTCCATGCTCCTTCCTGTGGTGCCTCTCAGCTTCTTAGTGGGATCTGAGATGTATCAACACGCGTATTGAGATGTATCAATACCTTGCACTTGAAAACTTGGGAACTGGGAAGTTAAAGGGAAATTTAGATTCTATTTAGAAATGATGAAGCAGAGAAGGAAGATGCACAGAGGGTAAAGTGATGTCGTGGCTTTGAAATTATATTTTCAAGTGTTGTGTTCACAGTGAAACTACTCCATACCTCACATGACTCGCACACTTCCCTGTCCCCTTGTCCCCTCATCTTCCTCCCAGCCAACTTACCTGGGGGTGGCTGGAGCAGAACTGGAGGCACAAAAGGTGAAGACCATGGACTAAGAGGAGAACAATTTACTGGAAACAGCAATGAGATAAGAAACAAACACTAACAGCAACAACATTAATGACAGAGTGTAGGAGAAAACAAAAGTTGTCGCTCACCCTGTGGAAACCCCAATCAATGCCCAACCACTCCCTCTGCAGTGCTATCCCAGCCTCCAATCCAGCCTTTTTCCTGCCCTGTCCCTAGAAAATGGCAGGAGGTGGCATAGAATAACCTCTAGGTCCTGGCTCTGGCCTTCATGGCTACAGCAGAAATTAAGCCTGTCCTGGCTGGAACCAGGACAGATGGAGCCAGTGGTGTTTCTAAATGCCATTGCTGGCAGAATGAGACACTGTTCTGGCATGCCAGAGAGACTCTAGGTCTGAGACCCTGTTTATACATAAGAATGTGGAGGAGGGAGGTAGAGAAAAATATTTTGCAAACCCTTTACCTTTCTTTTCTCAGTGCAAGGAGACACAATGGAAACCACAGGCTGGGTTTGTGGGGAGTCTGTGGGGACTCTCTGCCCTGACACCTTTCTCCAGAAAATATCCAGACTTTGCAGGGTTTGGGAAAAGGAACTTACTCTGCTGTGTCAGTGTCACAAAGAGGTGAACCAAATTGCCAGCAAATGCCCTGGATCACAGCGACCCACAACCACAAACACATCACATACAGCATAGCACAGCACCAAGGAATCAGCAGAGAGAGAGACAGAGGCTGCTGTATAACAGAGAAGCTTGTCATTGCCTCACTGAACATGCCACAGCAACCAAAATAGCAGCAAAGCTCATACTTCTGGTTATCACATCAAGTGAGCATCTCTGGTTTTTTCACCATCTTTCTCTACCTGACCTCTGCCTTTCTCTTGCTCTGATTTAGTACTTGTGTTTTGTTCCCTCATGGTGGTGATTTGTGCTTCTGCACAGTCAACGGCTGGATGAATATGAGACATCTGTGTGCCCAGGTGGACAAGAAGGCTGATGGCATCCTGGCCTATATCAGAAATAGTGTGGCCAGCAGGACTAGGGCAGTGATGATCCCCTTGTGCTCAACACTGAAGAGGGTGCACCTCAAGTGCTGGTCAAGTTCTGGGACACTGAAGGGCTGCAACTCATCCAAAGAAGAGTAGTGGAGCTGGTGAAGGGTCTAGAGCACAAGTCTCATGAGGAACAGCTGAGGGAGCTGGAATTGTTTTGCCAGGGCAAAAGGAGGCTCAGGGAAGACCTTATCACTCTACCGCTTCCCCAAAAGGAGGTTGTAGCAAGGTGGTGTCTGTTTCTTCTCCCAACAAACAAAAGATAGAACAAGAGGAAATGGGCTCAAGTTGCAGCAGGGAATTTTTAGATAAGCTTTCTTTACCAAAAGTGTTGTCAAGTGTTGGAACAGGCTTCCCAGGGAAGTGGTGGACTTACTATCCCTAGAGGTACTTAAAAGAGATGGGGATGTGGCACTTGGAGACATGGTGGTGGTGGACTTGGCAGTGCTGGGTTAACTTGATGATCTCCAAGATCTTTTCCAACTTCAACAATTCTATGATTTTACACTGCAGGATGGCAGGAAATAATTAGTAGGGACTGGGCAGGATATTTACCATAGCTATGGTAAGTGCTGCACTGGGCATAGGAAACAGCTCTGCTGGCCCTGTATCTGGCACCATGGGGCTGTCTAATCCTGCTGGAATGGGAGCACTTGGCACCACAGATTCTTGCCAGCTCCCCCCCCCAGACTGTCTCTTTCCCAGCAGGACAGACCTCATATTGCATGACCCATTTCTGGCAGCAGACCACACCAGACCAGAGCTATGGAGAGGGAAACTCTCCCTGCTCCACAGACCCAAAACCAGAGAGAAACAAAGACCCCTTGGGGTACATATTGCCCTGCAGTGGGACACCCTGCCATGCTGGAGATCCTCCCTGCAGAATGGCACCCAGGGGACTCCCAGTGCTTTAGAGGGGTCATTCTCAGCCCTGCAGCATCTCTTGAGCAAAAAGGCAAAGGTTCCTCTAGACTGGGCCATGCTGGGGATGCCCATTGCCTGCCCAGCAGGCCTGCAGCTGGTGTGGACCTACAGTGCAGGAGGGCTGAGGGCCGTGTGGGGGTGCCACTGTGGCTCCATCTCCCTGGAGGCGCAGCTGGGAGGTGCTTTCTTGGGCAGGGGCATGGCAGGGGGCAGACAGGACAGAGCTTTTTCCCCTTGACATTGCTTTTGAACCTTTCTTTTCCAGGAACTGTGTGGAGGATCCCTTTATTTACCATGTCCTCTGCGTGTGTGTGTCAAAACAAGCAGACAAAGATTTCATGAAGCAGATGTTCAGTGCTGCTGTGTGTGCTGATGTCTCCTGCTCAGCCTCAGACCTGGCTGCTGCTCTGAGGGACATCCAGATATAGGATGAAAAAATCGCAGCCAAGAACCTGCAGGTAAAATTATACTTTGTCATATTTGTGAGATGAAATTATCTGTCAGCTCTTGCTGATCTCTTCCCCCTCTGCCCCCCTAATAAAAACCATCACAAACATATTGAATATACTTAGTAGTCCATTGCTAGATATAAATATACACAGGATAGTTGGATAGATTTTTTTCCCCCCCAACATATTTTTCTTCCAATCCACATCTTATAAATAGCATAATAAATAGGATGATACATGGTCAGTTTTTTGTTCATGGGTCCTCCCCCACAATTGGAAATACAATATTTTCTTTATCTCTTTCCCTTGGATGCACACAAAAACAGTCTTTGCTGATACTCTCAGGTTTTTTACATGTTTACATATTCATCTAATAACTGAAAACAGCACATATCTTTTCACATATCTGACAATAAGCATTCTTGTTTGCCCTCTGCTGTTTAATATCCCCTCAGGAAATGAATGAGTGGTACGAAACCAGATTTACTGACTTTAATCAAGCTTCCACAAAACATGCTGAGAATGTGAGACATTTCAGGGAAGGAACAGGGAAAAGAAGTGTAAGTGGAATTGAAAACCCCTTCCAGCTTATGTTATGTCACTTCCAATGGAAGCCTTTGTTATGATTTCACTAAGTTAGGTAATGTGACAGTTGTCCGATATTTTTCCCAATAATGGTGGTCTTTTAGGCTATATTCTGCAACAAGCGAGGTGGATTGGAGGAGTGGTGACCCTGGATGTGACTCCATGTGTCAAACCAGCAGCAAGTAGCCACAAATAATATTTATACATATGAAATGAAAGTTCAGCTGCTCAGTAATGCATATATCTGAACGTAAGGATCCTGTTGTTTTGAATGACAATGTCAGGGGAAAGGGATTTATATGGGAGAAATTTTATTTGAAGCACCATCACAGACACTTCCACTTCCACACAAAAGGCAGACTCTTGCAGAAGCAACCATTTAATATTTTATGTTGAAGACATTCAGGATAATTTCATTAGATGGGGGAAAGACCTTAGAATAATGAGGGTTTGGTTTACAGCATGAGGATAAATAACAAGGGACAGAAGTGTTATTAAAACCATCAGGTTGTGAAAACCTCTTGATGAGGATAGATGGTTCAGCCACCTTCTACTGACCTTTGCTTAAAACAAATTTAAAAAATCAGCATTCCCACATAGTAGCCTGTTATTTCAAAGGGTTTTCCTTTCTGGATCACAGACACTGGCATTTAACCCCACCTCCTCTCAGTAAAACATGCAGCAGGAGCATATGCAGGATGGAGTATCATATCAATGTTGTGTTGTTTGGATTTTTTTTTCCTCCTCTGGCCAGCTTGAAATGCATTCTCTACTCTGATGGCTCAGGCTTTCCATGCAGGGAGTAGCCTGTGGGTCTGGATCCTGAGCAGCTCACCCTGCCCAGGCTGAGGTGGTTACTCAGGCTGTCCTTCAAACCCTGGAGGTCACACAGATCAACCTGCAGGCCAGCCACCCACTCACATGGGACATGCGTTCCATCAGGGAGGGCTTTGCCTCTGGGGTCTTTCCCAGAGTTGCCAGGGTCACTCCATTGGGAATCTGTGCTGGGACATGAATAATGGACTGAG